GTCTGGTATCATTTTTTGTGTTAGGGAGTTGTTTGACAATAAGGGCGGGTTTCCAAATGGCTGGTAGGCGGGAAGTATCATCTCGCTTGTTCAACCAACATCTTCCCTGGTCCAACATCTTAAAGCCACAGGACATGAAATTGACTTTAAAAATACCAGAACCATTGCCAAAAGTGAACATTTTAATAACAGAATAATCAGAGCATGTTCATGTTCACAGCATGAACAACGCCCACACAGCATGAACAGCGTGGCGTTGCCCTTGTCCTATTAGCAGACAAGGGCAACGCCACAGTGGTTATGAACACATCTGACTACCAAACCAAATTAACCAACCTACTCCAAGACTCCACATACAAACCCCTAAATACAGATCCCACCACCTACCTGGAAAAAACCACCAGATCCAAAATAAAAGCCTCCCCCATTAGCGAAGAGATCCAGCAAAGAATCATTCCCAGAGAGAAATCATCCAGATGCCCCAAACTCTATGGTCTCCCCAAGATACACAAAGAAGGAACCCCACTCAGACCTATAGTCAGCTCCATAGGCTCACCTCTACAAAACCTAGCCAAATTTCTCGCCAAACAACTATAGCCCTATGCAGAATCCATCACCTCACACGTAAAAAACTCATTCCAGTTTATAGAGATCATAAAGAAACAAAACTTACAGCCCAGCGACCTACTAGTGAGCTTCGATGTCATATCCCTCTTCACCCAAGTGCCTATCAAAGAAGCCTTGACAGCTATTCAAAACAAATATAACCCCCCCAAACACATCTTAGATCTGACCAACCACTGCCTATCCAACACATACTTCATCTATAATGGACAAAAATACAAACAAACAGAAGGAGCACCCATGGGATCACCCCTCTCACCTGTCATTGCCAACCTCTACATGGAACACTTTGAAACCCAAGCTCTAGAAAAATCGGATCACAAACCCAAACTCTGGCTCAGATACGTAGACGACACCTTCATAATCTGGCCACATGGGAAAGAAAAACTGGACAACTTCCTCACACACCTCAACAGCCTACACCCCAAAATACAGTTCACCATGGAAACAGACGCTAACAACCAACTTCCCTTCCTGGATGTCTTAGTTTACAAGAAATCCAATGGCTCCCTAGGACACACCATCTACCAGAAGAAAACACACACAAACCGCTATCTGCACGCTCTCTCACACCACCACCCAGCACAGATCAACTCTGTAGCCAAGACACTCATCTCCAGAACAAAACGCTTAGCTGACGAACAACACCTAAAACCCGAACTACACACTCTCACCAATGTACTAACATCCAATGGATTCCATAGAACTAAGATTACAAACCTAATCCAAAAAGAAACCCCCACCAAAATCCAAGACAAAGAACAAGAAAACGGCAAAGCCCTCCTCCCATACATAAAAGGCACCACAGACAGAATCAGTAAGATCCTTCATAAACACAACATCAAAACAGCATTCTGCACAAACAGAAAAATATCCACCATCCTTAGAAACCCCAAAGATAAAATTGAATTAGAAAATCAAGGAGTATACGAAATCCCATGCACCACTTGTCCCACCACATACATCGGACAAACCAACAGAAGAATAAGTGCACGCATTGAAGAACATAAGAACTCAGTCAAAAAAGAGGAACCAACATCTTCCCTGGTCCAACACCTTAAAGCCACAGGACATGAAATTGACTTTAAAAATACCAGAACCATTGCCAAAAGTGAACATTTTAATAACAGAATAATCAGAGAAGCCATCGAGATAGAAAAACGCCCACACAGCATGAACAAGCGAGATGATACCTCCCGCCTACCAGCCATTTGGAAACCCGCCCTTATTGACAAACGACTCCCTAACACAAAAAATGATACCAGACCCACACTCACAAAAACCACACAGGATGTCACCACCACACATCCACGCAAAAAGCAAACCCAAAGCCACACCGATGATGAGGCACGACCACAAACCAGAAGCCAGACCAGAGCTGCATCATTAGCCACTTTAAAGCCCTCCAATCCATACATGAAGCAACTGACACCCTCCATGAAGAGGAGGCACGACCACGAACGCGAAGCCAAAAAATAGCAAGGCAGCCCAAAATCTTAAACCCCCCTGCAACTCAGACTAACCTGAGCACAACCAAACAGAACACTCCCCCAGCCAATCAAAGCACAGCCACAGCCAATCAGAGCACAGCCATGCCCCTAACCAATCAGAACACACCTCCACCCAATCAGAACACAGCCAAGCTCCCACCCAATCAGTTCATACCCCCACTGGCAGTTAAAAGGAAGAAACAGCTAAGACCACACATTGCTGCTCAAAGCACGAGGCTGAAAACACCAGCCTGAAGATGACGAATGGGACTTCGTCGAAACGTCGCCAAGACACTTCCAATTTTACGTGGGAGAAAACCCGAACAGCCAAAGACCTACATACAAACACCCGCGAAAACCTCAGAAAACATATATATATATATATATATAATCAATTACCAATAAAGCGTGAACACCAGGAATATAATAAACTATAAAAGTTTAATACCATCACCGATCACCAAGCTTTTGTCAGATACTTCTGACATCATCAGGGTTAATGCTGGTCTGTGGGAGCCGTCATTTGCACACGGCTCCTAGATCTTGTCGTAGGTCCTAATTGATTTAACTGGTTTTTAATTACGGCTTCCATACTGATGACTCCTCTTTTCTTGCTTTTACTGCTTGTGGGTGTGTCATTATTCCCCTCTACCTCCCACTGCCTTGAATTAGGGAGGTTCTTTCCTCCCCTTTTTTTGGTCATTCATATCTCTAAGTTGTTCCCTCTTCACACCTCCGTGTCTCCTTCCTTCCTCCTTCTTCTGATCTTTACTTGCTCCCCAATTGTCATCCCTCATTCTATGGGGGAGCACTCTCAGCCTTTCTCCCCATCCCTTGCTTTCCATTTCCCTCTCTTTGGCTGCATAAACTCCGTTTCTGTCATTGCCATTCCGTCTGACATCTACTTGCTCTTTCACCCCATTGTCAATGTTCTCAGACTCCATGTCAGACTGAATCCCTTGAATATCTCCTTCCTCCTCACACAAGCCCTCGTGTGCCCTCCTTTTTTGAGTATATATGCCTGGTTCCTTTATATCCCTCCCTCCATCAACATAGTGATCTTTTTTACAGTTTCTATCACATTCTACCCTTATTTGCATTTCCCCCCCATTCATAGAAACTGTAAAAAAGATCACTGTGTTGATGGAGGGAGGGACATACACATACATACACACACATACATACAGTGTTATCTTCATTTTAGATGTCAAGAGAGAGACCCTTTTGACATCTAAAATGAAGATAACTCTGTGTATGTGTGTGTGTGTGTGTGTATGTGTGTGTATATGGATATATGCAATGTTATCTTCATTTTAGATGTTAAAAGGGTTTTGCGGCTCCCAGTGTTTTGTTTTCGATGGGAAAATGGTCCAAATGGCTCTTCGAGTGTTTTGGGTTGCCTATCCCTGAACTAGACATACCCAATTTCAGCAACCATTGCTATATATTGCAACATTTTTTCTAAATAAGTATAGTTCAGTCTATCATAGGACTATAAAACTATAAACTGTAGAAAATCAGAATGTGGTATAAGACTTTAACAATTTTAGTAATAGTAATAGTAGTAAAGTTGGAAGGGACCTTGGAGGTCATCTAGTCCAACCCCCTGCTCGGGCAGGAAACCCTACACCATTTCGGACAAATGGCTGTCCAGTCTCTTCTTAAAAACTTCCAGTGTTGGATCATTTACTGCTTCTGGAGGCAATCTGTTCCACTGATTAATTGTTCTCACTGTCAGGAAGTTTCTCCTTAGTTCTAGGTTGCTTCTCTCCTTGATTAGTTTCCACCCATTGCTTCTTGTCCTGCCTTCAGGTGCGTTGGAAAATAGCTTAATTCCCTCTTCTTTATGGCAGCCCCTGAGATATTGGAATACTGCTATCATGTCCCCCCTTGTCATTCTCTTCGTTAAACTAGACATACCCAATTCTAGCAACTGTTCCTTATATGTTTTAGCCTCCAGTCCCCTAATCATCTTTGTTGCTCTTCTCTGTACTCTTTCTAGAGTCTCAACATCTTTTTTACATCGTGGTGACCAAAACTGGATGCAGTAATCCAAGTGTGGCCTTACCAAGGCATTGAAGAGTGGTATTAATACTTCACGTGATCTTGATTCTATCCCTCTGTTAATGCAGCCTAGCACTGTGTTGGCCTTTTTGGCAGCTGCAGCACGCTGCTGGCTCATATTTAAGTGATTGTCTACTAGGACTCCGAGGTCCCTCTCACAGTTACTACTATTGAGCATGGTGCCACCTATGCTGTACTTGTGCATTTGGTTTTTCTTGCCTAAATGTAGAACCTTGCTTTTTTCACCATTGAATTTCATTTTGTTAGTTAGTGCCCAGTGTTCATTTTCCTTATAAGACATAGACTTTGCGATTTGCACCTACATTTTTATTGATTGCCTCATTCCTATGCATTTAAATCCTTTATCAGTTAAGCTACTCTATTATCAATGAAGTGACCTTAGCTCACGAAAGTTTATAATAAAATTTCAAGAGGTGTTACGAAACTCGTTTGGCTACCATAGACTAACATGGGTCTTAGTTGGCAATTTTGTACTTCAGTTTTCAGAAACTGGTATCAGTAAGTTTAACATTGCTTTATTTCCAAATATGTAAAGCTGTATCATACATATAGAGTCCATATATTTATCATTGCAAATGGCTACAGATTACTTCCATGCACTGGCATAACAGAAATGAGCTGATGTTGAGCAGCCCCATTACTTTTTAAAGAAATTGACTGTTAACTTACTCCTACAATGATTTATATAATGTTTGAGTAACTTACCTTTAAAATAAGGCAATATTAGTATTTTGGACTATTTAGTAAAGTATTGTGCTGACACAAACATTCTGTAAGTTTTTGAATACACAGGCACAATAATGGAGTAAAAATGGACATTTATTACAACTAAACCAGTGTGATATACTACACAGCTTATCTTACACCACAAAGCTTTTTTAAACAAACACACAAGGCAACAGTGCAGACTTTAAACATGGTTTGAATGCATAAAAATTGTTTTTGATATTTTAAAATGTCAAGTAATTCCACCCAATTTCAACCTCACACATAGCAAATGGATCATTCTAATGCCATGTGAACTTCATTCTTCCAGTTCCCATTAAGTTAAACATAGGACTCCAGTGTATGTACTTCATGTAATCATTACTAATTCCATAACATTCTATTGGACTCAGTATGATATAATAATATTTCTGATGTAACATTACTTATATTAATGCCTTACAATATTTGAGAATATCAATTAATCAAATTGATGCACTAGAAGGCAATTTAGTAGAAGTCTATGTACCCACACACAAATATATGTAAAGCAACCTACTTCCAGAAATAAAATGCTCTGAACAAAGTTTGCTTCAAACACATTACAGAATATTTAGCAAAATGCACATGAGGATAACAAACTATTGCTTTGTAATATCCATGCAGTCTGATCCTATGCATATTTAAAAATTCTATTTTGTTTGATACGTACTACACCATAAAAATGCATATGCATACCATGGTAGTCAAAACTGAACAAGCTGAGCAAAGGCATGTTGTAAGGTTTGCTTCTCTGCTGCGTCCACAATGCACTATGATTAAATCTAGAATCTATGGTGGAATAATATTAATGGGCAACTACAATTAGTAATGTACCTGTTCAGATTGACTTCAAAAACACAGCATATAATACTGGTAACAAGTAGATATTTTCTAACAATTCCTTTTTGTCAAATGTGTTTCAATATCTGAATTTATCCTTTTGAAAAGAATATTTCAGTACTTACGCTTATAAAAAGTAACACACTTTATATAATTTCAATTTACATTCCTTTGCAAAATATTAAATCAAGTTAGAATTTCACTCCAAGGAATTGTTATAATGTTTATAACTGAATTCTTAGAAATGAATCTGCCATGACAGCTTACAACAGTTTGATTTGCAGATCTTGATATAATTCTTTGGTATAAATAAAACAGCTGTAAATACTTGTTTAATCATCTGTGACAACCTAAAATGACTTAATAAAAGTCTTTGGCTATACAAAGCCAAGTTCTTTTGTTAACACATTTCACCACATGTAATAGTTTTCAGGATATAACACAATCTACAGTATTGGATACATTGTGTTTTAACAAAGTAATTCACAAAAAAATAATTACTGAAATTGTCATGACTCAATAATTTAAAACTAATGTGGCTGAAATTGCTGTGAAATCCCCTTCCCCAATTTAAAAACTTTGTTCCCTTTTTCAACTTTATAATAATTATTTTTTGCTCATAAACCTGAATATAAGTAGCTTAGCAGAACAATAATACTGACAAATAGCATCATAACACCATTAACTAACATTAAATGGAGGCAGTGAACATTTACACTTATATGGGCCACTGTAAAGACATAAAAAAAGATTTATGTCAGTCCAATCTCTTCAAGAACACTACGAGGGGTCTCTGCTTCCTGTGGAGAAAGAAAATAGACAATTAACAGATTTTTATTTTTTTTTGCTTCTGCCAAGCTAGATATATTAAGAATTAATGAATTTCAGGAAGTTACATCTCACCTTTTTAAAAATAACTGTAATTGATATTCCCCATTTTCTGTAATTCTTCCCTCCTTTCCTTAGTCAACTGAGTAGACTGGAAACAGTTTCTATTATGTGAAATGCTTTGGTGTACCATAAAAGAGAGAAGGCAACCTACATAAAGTTGAACAACTCCCACAGGCACTAGCCACTTTGATAAGAATGAATGTTTGACCTTATTAAGGAATTCAACCAAAGAAATAGTATTTTAGATAAAATTAATTGTAGATAATTTAACAAATACGGATAAATCTTTAGAGAATAATTGTAAAGGCCAATTAAAATGTTATTTCTATGCTAGTGAAGTTAATGATTGTTTTAAATGTTCAATTTCAAATAAAATGTCAAAGCAAGTTATATTTTCCTTATATCAATATACTCAAAGCACAGCCAGTAATTTTTGTATAAAAACACTTACTTTAGCATCCTAAAAAAGGTATAGCCAAAAAGAAAGAAAATCAGAATTTTAGCAATATTTCCACATAAATGTAACAAATATACAAGAACATGAAAGCCTGTTTGGTCTAGTAAGGCACCAGGCTAGAAATTGAAACGTGAGTTCAAGTCCTGCCTTAGCCATAAAAGCCAGCAGGATGACTTTGGGCCAGGTACTCTTTTAGTTCAATTCAATCACCTCACAATTTTTGCTGTGGGGAAAATATGAAGTGGAGGTAAGTTGGATATGTTTGCCATCTTGAGTTATTTAAAAATAGTAAAGGCAGATATAAATAAATAAACAAACAACGAAATCTGAACAGTTCAGTCAGGTCACAATTTTTGCTGTGGGGAAAATATGAAGTGGAGGTATGTTAGATATGTTTGCCATCTTGAGTTATTTAAAAAATAGTAAAGGCAGATATAAATTAAAAAAAAATCTTAATTCCCAAAATGAAGGCACTATTGTAACATCTCTGAATTGTATTAATAACTAGCAGATATTGTTCTCTGCTGACATATATAAATTTTATATAGAGGATTGAACTAATTTTGTTATGAAAAATAAGTTTTTATTAGATTCATGATTCTGAAGATTCATCATTCAGCAGATTCACTACCAGAGATTGCATCCTCATTCATTATGCAAACTTCCAAAAACAAGATTGATTTAGAGAAGGAAAGATTACCAATGGCTCCCTTTCAAGAAGGTTGCCACTTGATTCTGGCAATTTCTCATGAAAGTTAGAGCTGTAATCCGATAAATGAAATACAACTGGATTTCACCTGCACTAATAGATCTTTTTATGTGACGTCTAAATCAAATTTAATCTTTATTATGGTCATAGGCCAGCATAATATAATGAAGATATACTATATTTTCTAATAAGAACCTGCATACCCTTATTACTGTATGCATTTTTGTATCATAGTATTTTTAAAAAATGTGTTTTATACTTCTAATAATGTACTATGAGAATGATGCAGCATACCCTTAATAAGTCCGCATCTCAAATACCACTTGGGGAAAGTAGCTGTACCATTCAAGGTGTATAAACAATAGCTCTTTGTGAATGTGCAACTATTTAAAATAGCAAAGTTTTATCTTTTATCAGAAGGATTTCCTATGTTATGTCTGCAAATCAGAATTAAGGTAAATTCCACAAATATGAATTATTTCACAGCAAAGAAATGGAGGGGGGAAAAAGCCAGTCACATGAGAAGTGCATGCAATAGTTTATTACAGACATGCCCCCAAAAATTCACAGTAATTACAAGCATGCAGATAAATTTACAAGCATACATAAAGGTGCAACAATACTGCACCATCATCAGCACTCCATTTGCTGCAGTTTAAAGAGCCAGACATTAAAAGAATGCAAAGCAGCATTTACCATGTACATTCAGAGAAGCAAAACCATATACATTCACAGTGAGGGAGAGAGAGATCTGCAATATAAATGCTTCTTGCATGCTTCCCAGAGGTAATGGGAAATGACGTTAATCCCGTGTTTGAAATAATGACTCTCTCTAGTATGCTCTATCTGTATTTAATCGTGTTGCAGAAACCATTTTCTATTTTTTTTAAAAGCCATTTTGAAAGCCTAACTTTGTAACAGCAGTCATGTCTTCCTTTTTATTATGACTTTTTGTTTTAAAATGAAATCAAGAGGGTTTTTTTAGTCATATACTTTGGTAGTTGCTTCTATACATTTATGAACATTTTTATTGCTATTGTAACATTTGGATCAGCTCCATTCATGCACTGAAGATATCCACATAAGTCTACTCTAAAATATTGAAATTAATGAAAAAAAGATTTTGCATGCAGAAGGAATACCTTATGCATAGTTTAGAGAATACAAGATCAATGTACTTATTTTTTAAACTTAGTTAGCAGTGAAGCAAATCTGTTTAATATATATGTATAACAATTTGTGGCCTTCAGGGTTGTTTTTCATGGTAAGTGTAGAAGGCGCTATTTGGAAAACATTTTGTTTAGTGGGATAAAATGTATACGTTAATATCAGTTGATTTCTATGTGCTAGCTGCATAAATTAGATTTATATATATTTTGAATTTGGTTAAATGCTTAAATGATAGATTGAGGCTAAGCAAAGTATTTCAAGCTGGAATTTTACATGCTATGTCAAGTGCTAATGAGATAGATTTAAATAGTTTAACAACAAAATTACAGCATGCTGACAAAACATATGAAGAAAAACAAACATTGTAAATGGCAGGACAAAGAAAAATACAAACAGCAAAAACAAAACACACAACTGTGATATACACTAGTTTGTTCAAGATGATTGGATTCACCAAGCTGAGGAAAAATGTTCTGCCATAAGAAAGCCAGGTCTAGTGCCTCTCTGTGTGCATGATGAATGAAGTCATTTAATATACTGGGACATTAAAGTATTCATGACGTGGCTATAAAAGAAATGTATATTCTTTATAAATAGTACAGAAGTTAGCATGCATTTAATAAAACAAATGGATTTCTATTACTTCCATTCTTCTCTATTCTGATCTTTGGAATTATGTAATAATGATGATAGAGGTTTAAGATATTTTTATTGTAATGGATGATTTAACAAACTATATTTAATATCCTGGGTGGTTTGCTTTAAACTAAGGATTGTAAGGATTGATGTGTACACAGTTACTGCCAAACATCCATCATTTTTTGCACAACAGTATATTTCATTAGAGAAAATAGAATGCATATGCACTTTACACTTCGAACAAGCTATTTCAAAGATGTTTCTGATGTATCAATATCCAATTGTACAATTACTGAATTTTATGGCAATGTATGTAGACCACAATTAATTTATGTCCAAATTTCATTTTTCTTCAATGGTGCAATTATAAATCATATTTTAAGGGCTGCAATCATAACAATAAACTCATTCTTTTTAAGCTGCTTTAAAACTACCTGTATTAACATTCCAGGCCAGCTAGCTGTTAATCCAACTACCCAGGGATGGAGAACTGGCATCATTAATTTCCTACATTTTTTTGTGCTTATCTTAGGAGCAAAATAATTACATCATTCATAAACCTAGTTCTACAAACAACTACAGATACTTTATCTTTTTTTCTCTATATAAGAATGTGCAGGTTTTCAAGCATAATAATCAATATCTAATGCTAACTATGAATATTTCTATAAGTCTATCTCAGAAATATAGGTTTCCCAGAAAATAATGAAATAGAAAGTTTTGCTAAAACAGATACTCTGAGATTAATTCATTCAATGGAGAACATGTTATAAATTTCTGTTAACTTGGCAAATTGTAAAAGTACATTTTCCCAGACATCATATGAACATAAATATTCAATTATCTTTGTCCTCCCCAATACATTGTGATTAATATATCCAAATTCATAAAATTAAATACTCTCCACCTGCCTAATTTGCTTATGTGCTGTCTTCTCCACATTCTTTCAATGCTTATAAACTGGTACAGCAGGAATACATTTTTTTCCTTCAGTTTATCTATTTGGCCTAATAACTACATCGCCTTAATATAGATTTTCACTTCATGGATGCTCAGGTTTTTAACTACAAGTAGTTAAATAACACCATTTGGTGATTAATGTATTCATTTATATTATTCTTAATTTGTTTTATGAAAATATTAAGAATTGTAGGTTAAACATTTCTATGGAATGGTTCAAAAGTGAAAATAAATTATCTGCATCATGTATAATCAAAATTGAACAATTCTCAATTTTATCTGCTAAAAATCAAACTCATGTGCAACTTTTAGCGTCTTTCTAGCTAGAAACCAGGAGACTGAGTTCTAGTCCCACTTTAGGCATGAAAGCTGGCTTAGGCCAGTCATTCTCTGTCAGAGATTTGTTACTATGGGGAAAAGACGAAGGAGTATTAGGTATATTTATCACTTTGTATCATTTATTAAAATAATAAAGATGGAGATTGCATATATAATAAATATAAACAATAGAAATATATATAAAATATATAAACAATAAAATAGGATTTGAAACTAAAGTTTCTTTTTGGAATCAGAACAAGGGAAGCTGCCATTTGAAAATATTCCAAGGGGCATGGTGAACTGAAGACAACTTGCAAGAGCATAGCCCACAACCACAGTGGAAAAAGGAGCCAATTCCTCCCCAAACTCCTTTCTGGATTAGGGAGAGAATTTGGATGCCCATAGTGTTTTCCTGCAACAAGATTATAAAAGAGCAGTCTCCAGTAGGTTTTAGAATTCTGGGAGCCAGGAGAGTCAGTTTTGCCCAAGCCATGGTTCAGAGTCTTCAAGAGACACTGGGTTCACCTTCCTTAATTATTTTCATTGGAAATGGTTTGAAAATTGTTTTATGGTTATTAAAAGCCTTCAGAAGGACAAGTTTTATTACACTAGGTGCTCTTCCTTCAATCCTCAGATATAGAAGGTTCATATAAGTTTTAAGTAAGAACTTAAAAACTTTATTATTTGAAACTAAGCAGCAAAAACGTAATTGGAATGCTAATTTTGGAAAGGTTTTAAATGGACTAAGGATCCAGATTAACTCAAAATAAGATTATGAAATAATTATAAAAATATTTCTGTGGTTAGTTTAAAATCCTATTAAAATGTATGAAGATTTTGAATTTTAAGTGCAAGAAATCTTTCCCTGGGAAAATTTTGTGGATTGGGAAAAGCATGAAAAAAGGAGACCTTGGTGGTTGGTTACTAGAAGCAAGTAGAAAGGTTATAATTAAAGGAAAAGACCTTCTATTACAGAATAGAAAGAAGTATTTTAAATCTGGAGGAATTTAAGGATATTTGGCAACAATATATTCAGAATTTTCTTTTTAGATTATCCAACAGTATAAAATGGATTCAAAAGAGGAAATAGAAGAAGATGCAACTGAGAATCGGGATGTTTTGGATATGGGTTTAAAAATGACAGGATACAAGAAGGATCTAACGGGAGAGGCGGCACACAAACAAAAAAAATTGACAAAGATGT